AAACTCTATACGATTGGTTATTTTAGAGCTTGCAATTGTCAAACAATTGATTACTTTAGAACTTGTAATTGTCAAATGAATGACTCTGGAAAGGGGCAATAATTACGCAATAAGTGTGTTCCCTTACGGCCCGAATCAATCTTAATTCGGACCGCAACTAAAACAGCTTAATGCCACAATTTTATATAACGATAAAGGCTTGTCATTGTTCATGCTTAAAAATTAGTTAACTCGGAAAAAAAAAACTAATTTATATAACAATGTAATTATTATTATTATTTTGTGCACGCTCGAAATGAACTATTAAGAAAAATTATTAATCATCATATTTTAAAATTGTTATGATTATATAATAAATCTTTTTATATTGATTTAATCTATAACAAGAAAATTAATCAACATAATTTAAGAAACTATCAAAATCATAAGTATGTCAGTTGACATCACCATTATTAAATTTTTAATTAACAATAGTCAAATTGTAAATATAAATTCATTATTGATACCCACATTGATTTTTCACCTTTTTTCTTTTATTATCGCACAGTTAAAAGCGAAACTATAGAAAATAAAAAGAAAATTATTAGATGTTCGATTAATCTTATATAGGAAGCTACTAAAGAAGGAGTTAGGGAAATTGTTTTAATGACGCCTCGTACTCAGCAACCATTTTCTTAACTGACGGCACTAAGGATACTGAAAATTTGGACGCATCTGGAGTGGTTCTAATTTCTGAAGAAATTTATTGGAAAATAAACAATGATCTAGCCAATATAAAGAGGAAAAAATCTATTACCATTGAAGATATAATCGATATTAAAATATTTTGTCGCAGGTAATAATGAAATTGGATTAAAATAAAATTTGTTTTCTAATTAATCCCCTAAAACCCAATCGCTTATTATAAATTCTACCCTAAAGCAGACACGTAATCCTAAAAAATATTTTGCCTATTTTACACTATGAATATTTTATTTTAATCGGATTTCGTCTTAATCTGCCATATTTATTAATCAATCGACACAGTAATATTAAGTACTTTTAAATAAAACTTATGATCCAGACAGTGATAGACTATCGGAAGTCGATGTTGATGCTCAAACAAATAAAAACAATACATTAAATTTGAAAGAAAACCAACAGGCTAAAGGTAGTCATATGAATAATTATTTTAAAACCTCGAAAAGAAATATGAAAAATAAAGTAAGAGATTTCAAAAGTTGCTATTGAAAATAATGCTTTAATAGATGTTTATTTTTTTATTATTTTTATTTTTATTATGAAATTGATGATTAATAAAGGATGCTTCGAAATATCCACATGTTAGTGAGAATACAAAATTTTCAATAATATTAATTATAGACGTAATTAATTATTAACAAATCACTGAAATTACAGCAAAGAGAGAATGATAGTAATGACTTTGAAAATAACGAGGAAATAAATGAACTATTACCTGATTTGCAAGCTGCTAGCACCAATGATTAATTTTCAATTGGCAATATGAACCAGCCTGATAATGAACATGTTAATGACAATCGAGTAAGAAAAAAAACTATAAGGAATTTGAAAGTTTTTTACAATTAAATTAAAATTTTAATTTATCATTGACAAATCACAAATTTTAGCAAACTGAAAATATCAGAGAGACAGATAAATCTATGTCCAATGACCAACAATCAATCAATGTTATCTCCGGAATGCTTGAACAAACGAATCTAGCAAACAATAGTACACAAGCCAATGACATTGGAACTATTCAAGATAACGATAATGTAGGAATTTTCAGTAATTGATTAATAAATTTTAAAAATAAATTTATTAATATACATTATTGTTATCAAAAATTTATAGAAAGAAGACTTGGTTATAAGTGATGATGATTCACCAGGATGGTCAGAATGTGAAGATTGCTATGGAAATAAAAAGGAAATGTGTGCTTATTGTGGTTGTTCTGTATGCTCATGGAAAGGCAACAGAGGTCATATCCTCTTGTGTGATGGTCCTTGTGGCAAAAATTTTCATACTAGTTGTTTAAATCCTCCGCTCACAAGAATTCCCTCCAGAAATTGGTACTGTAAGGAGTGTGAAAGTGGGAATTCAAAGAGATCGAAACGTAAAATATGAATTGATTATTCAAGTTCAGATGAAATTGATAATCAAAGTGCAAAAAAAAACAAAAGATTGAAATCAAAAAGTGTTAAAAAATATAAGACACAACAGGATATTTTAAATTCTGACGATGAAGACAGTCAAAATATAAGGAAATTTTCAAAGAAAAAGGCAACGAATCATAATGAAAAATGCGCGGTTTTATCGAATCCTTTAGGTATTATTGTTACATCAAGTTTTGGCTAATTTAGTTATATAATTTTAAAATCATTACTTATAAAAAAGTATAGTTAAATCAACTTCGCATAATGATAGTTCTATCGATGACTATATTGAAAATTTTCCTGTTGTTGTTATAGAAAGGATGAATGCTTTAGTAATAGACAGGTAAACTCTAGTATGATAACAAAATTTCACTAGCCCATATTATTTATTTTGTTATCTTTAAAAACAAATAGATAAAACAGATAATGTGTCAGATACAAATAAGGTACATATTCATAATTAAATTTTGACAGATTTAAAATTAAATTTCAAAGTTGTAATTAAATATATCAAATTACAAAACCTTTAAAAATAATTAAATTTCAAAGTTGTAATTAAATATATCAAATTACAAAACCTTTAAAAATAAGGAATACTACCATTATTCTTTTTTTAAGATACAATTCAGCGTAGATTATAAGTTTTTTTTTCATTTAAAGAATATATATATATATATTTATAAACTACATAGTACGTGTTTATTACCTAATATATTTTGCATGATTGATATTTTTAATCATACTTTTAAGCCAATATATATTTTTTTATAGCGTATTATACTAGAACTTTGACGAGTTGTCATTATTCTGATCTGTAAAATTATAAACATTATAACAGTAAAAGAATGTAAGTATGGTTTTTTGAGATCAAACCGGTAATAGCAGAAGCTAAAGATTATGAAAAAAATGAATAGTAAGAACATTTTATTCGAGTAGAATAACGGTGTTTTCGTTCTATTAAAACTCAAATTTATTGTTGTTATTGGAATTTTTTAATTTGTACAAATTACTTGGGCTGATTAATGCGCCACCAACCTGCCTGGCACAAATTCAAGAATTGCCTACCTGTCAAAAGTTCATAGCACAAAACACCAAGTGACCAAAGGTCTATCTTTTCATCATATTCTTTGCCTTCTATCAATTCGGGTGGAAGATAATCCAATGTACCACAAAATGTTTTACGCTTTATATATAAAAGCAACCTAATTGAAAAATTCTTTCAAATATAAATAACATAACTTTTTTTTGTTGCATACCTTTGAATCGTATGCACAGACCATCCAAAATCTGCAATTTTGATCTCGTCATTCAAATCTATTAACATGTTTTCTGGTTTTATATCTTGATGAATAACGTGTTTTTGGTGAATATAACTTAAAGCTCTAGCTGTTTGTGCAATATACTATTTTAGAAAAAGAAATGAACTCATAAATTTCAGAAAACATTTTATGTATTAAATTTATTTCAAAAATTAATAAACAAACCTTTGATGCTTTTTTTTCTTTAAGTCTACCTGATTTTACAAGTTGTTTATAAAGTTTTCCTTTGGCTGCATATTCAAGAATTAGAACAAAATATATATCATCTTGAAAATTCCCAAGAAGTCGAAGAATATTTGGATGCCTTTCGTATTTAAACATTTATTCAGTCACTAAAAAGGCGATCATATATTTTTATTTAAAATTACCTTAGATTCATCTGTATCTCTACTTCGCATCTCAATTGTCTTTTAGCGTTTACTTTAATTAATTTCCCAATAGATAGCATCTTCAAGGCTACTATATAGCCACTTATTTTTTCCCTTGCAATGTAAACATGGCCAAACTGTCTCTTACCAATACCACATCCTATATCAAGGCTTTTCAATGACATTTGGGGTACTCTATTAAAGATATAAAATATTAATTTATATTGCTCACATAATTTAAACTAGATTATGTATTTCCATTATTACCTAATAGGTTGACTAATTATAATTTCTTTCTGATATTCTTCATTATTTTCTTGATTTATTTGTCTTTTCTGTTAGAACACGAAAGTTAAAAGTTATGCTTAGTGATGATCGACAAAATTAGCCAAACATCTTATCTATTTTCACTATGACCAATCGAGTTACGTATTAGAATTTTAGAAAAAAAGATATTGGTACAGACACTTTTAATATGACCAATGATTAAGAATATTAATTAAC